CTCCACAGATCTGATCCAGGAAGAGCCCCTACAGTCCAGATCTGGCCCACAGACCAGGAAGCCTTACATTCCTTAGGTAAAGGAATTGACATGTCTTAGTCACAGCAATCCAAAAAGCTGTTAGGCTTAGCCAGACTTCTGCCTGGATTTGTCCGAATAGCTGACACACATCTACTCTGTACATTCCACCTCAAAGGAAAATTCAACATGATCCCTGATTTGGTACAAATATTTTCTGTTCTGGCTGAAATCAGAAATCCACATTCAAACACTTCTTTCTTACACAAAACTGTTGTTGGAATCAATAGGGGGTGAACTAAGGGCATCTGTAGACAAAATGGGGGCCCTGAATTGAAGTGGTGGATTTTAAAAAACACTGCTTCAATTTACAGCTGATTAAACCTGCTTGTCGTGCACACACCCTGCTGACTTCCCTCCTCACCGGACAGGCAGGTGAGGACAAGCTGCCGGCAGGCAGAGCGATCCCTGGGCTGTGAGAGGGGAAATGGTGCTTCCCTCTGCGACAGCTGTGGCTCCCCCTAGGCAGCATCTGCCTGCCTGCAGGCACCCAGCTCAGGCGGTCCCAGGGGGCACCACAATTGTGGAGGGAAGCACTGGGCCCCCACACCGCTCAAGCAGCCAGGCAGGCTGGCGGGGGGAAGGGAGATCAGGCTCGCTGCTTTTCTTGGGTGGAGCTGCTTTCCCAGGCTGCTGTCAGGCTACCTGCAGGGCTTCCTGCAGAGCCATAGAGCTGCATGGAGCCTGGTGCTTTGCTCTGCGGCTGTAGGGGCAGCAAACTACAACTCCTCGAAAGTGTTTTAGTTTGCCGCGCCTCAAGTCATTCAGGGTGCATTACACTGCCAAGTTTCCTACCGTGGCTGGAATTAATGAGCAATACGCCACTGAGGCATGCACACACCGACACTATTAAAGCGGTGCAAAAGCATTTAGCCTGCTTTAAAGTGTCATGCGCACACTCCTCTCATTTTGTCTACACACAGCCGAAGTGAACAGAAAGACAGAGCCACAAGAGTTTGATATTTTTTGCAAAGAAGTATGAATTATCTCATTTTACTTCAACGGGGGGTGGCAGGGACCAAAACTTTTGACCTCGTTTCTGTATGACTTTGTATCAATACTACTTAAAGCTTATATTCTGTTTTGGCTTTTGCAGTTGCAGGATTTTTTACAGGACAACCTCCTTCAAAAACTGAACTCTGCAACACAACCTTAGATTTATATAGAGGTAGTAGCTACACCAGAGTGTTTAAGAAATATTTATCTCAAATTTAACTTTAATTCTCCAATTTAAGTTAAAAGAATTGTCTGCTGCCTATGTACTACCTAAAATACCTAAAAGCATCTGGTATTTTCCCCAGCACTAAATAGAAATGAAGTCTAATCCTATACTTACAGCACTTGTATAGCATAGCCACTATCAGGGGAAAACTTGCTCAACCCATCCATGTTACAGTAACTTACTATTTTACCTATAAAGACCATATTGAAGCATAGGTCATTTCCTTAAATATTCAAAACAAGAATAAAAGGTCAAGTAAGGAAACTAATTCATGACAGCTAAAGAAGTCTATAAAATGCAGACCAGCGAGTCTACCACTACTATTGCCACCCAAGTCATGACAACCATTCTAAGAATTGTCACAGGAGGAAATAAACTCACCTATTTAAAATATGATTTACAGGATAATAAATCTGCCTCGGAGACTAGAAAAAAAAAAAAAATCAAGGTAAACTTGCTTTCTCAGGCTACCATGCATTTTCTACCAAATTTTTTTTTAAATTTCCCTCTTGTTCCTTTTGGTTTCAAAGATTTCCAATAAATGTATTATTAATCCTTTACTCACTTTCCACTTCAAGTGTGATCTGCACCTTTAGCCACGTTCTACTTTAATTCTAATCTGCACCATTAATTTCAAAGAATAAGGGTTTTTTTTACCGTCTTCTAGAAACAAGGCAGTCCCATGTAAGATTACATCTCTACCTAGGTACTTCCTGTTTGAAATACTTTGAGCTTTCACTTCTACTTTGCTGACATAATTTTGTCAGTGTCATATTGCTCATTGGCACCAGCAGAAGAACGCAAGATGGGAGGTGTTTTGTGACAGGGAGACAGCCAGAAGTTAAATAGTAGAGTCTGGGAACTCCAGCATAAGTAGATAGGCCAGCTGTCCTGGAAGTCTAGTTGCAAGGCAAGAAACTCAAGAACTCAGAAAAAGAACTTCAACTACCATCATATTCATTACATAAAAGCAGCATTGTTTGTAACAAAGCACAGTGGCTTAGAAGTACCCTAAAATCAGTGCTTTAGGAACCAATATTATTTCAGAGTTTAACATTTTGTGGAATGTTTGGGGGGTTTTTTTTGTGGGGGGGGAGGTGGAAGGAGATTCTTATAAACATTAAACTGAAGAATTAGCTTGATTTTATTGGCAGGGGAGAGGGGGCTGCATATTTACATGAAGTGACATTAGTAAACAGGCTGAATTATGACACCTGAAACATTTATTGTTTTCCTTTTTGGCAAATAGAAAGCTGTTTATAAACTGGCCTTTCACTACGGAGAGAATTTTCTCCTCCTTCACTCTGCCAACAGATAAAAACAAGGGCAGATAAAGGTATCAGTATAAAGCTTGTTCAGATTTATGAATAGAAGACTTTTCCTTTAAAATACAGAACTTTTGACCGTTTTGCATACGAATATCCACCCCACCCCAGTCTGCCTACTACAATATATTGATGGTTTCGGTGGTTATTGTCCACTTTCTTTTCTGGCAGCTACAAACAGAAATACAACAGTATTAGGAGTGATAAGGATTATTCATTTGATATTACCACACACCAGGATACATGCATACATACACTAGACAGATACAGCTACAGCAAGATCAGTAACATGAACACTTCAGAATGATAAAAAAAAATACTTAACATAAACATAATTTAGGATTCTTGTTAAACATGTACTCCACGTTTTGGTGTCTTTAATTAAATCCATCTATTAATCTATACATGAAGTGTACTCTACACTTTCACAGACTCCCAAGATCTGGGTACACAATGAAAATAGCAGCCGTTTCTCTTTTGTTAGGTCTATTTTTTCACTAAAGGCCAGTAGCCTCTGATAGGACACTAAAAGCCGACAGAAATAACTAATTATTAGAATGGCTGCTTGAAGCAAGTCAAAGCCAATGTTAATGAGAGCCAGTACCACTCCAGAATGTGACTTACTACACTTTTCATATTTTGCTGTTATATTTACCTTAGGTGACTTATCCTAGAGTCCTCAATTTTTGTAGAAATACTTTCATATTTAGAACAAACAGCAAACCAGTTCAGATTTCTAGGAAATCAACTGAGAACACAAACATTTTCTAACTGTATTCTTCCACCTGACTTGAGACAACCTGGCTGCATAAAGTTCAGTTTCCAAATCCATTAGCTGTACGGTTTACAAAGTATTTAATTTTTCTCCACATTTTTAATCATTGGAAAAACCAGGTTCTGCACATTTTAAAATTAGTCCAATTACTGAAAACTATCACCACTTTCATCTGCAAACAATAAAACTAGTATATATTCCCACGTTTGTCTACTTTAAGCTTTCTCATGGGGTGGGGACCATCAAGTTGGTACTTGTGAAAGGTGTTGGTTTTAAGACTCACATCCTATTTATTCAACCAGGCAAAAACAAGACAGTTACTGCCACTGAAAGCTTTCTTCACTTCAACTTGCCAATGTGTGATCTGATCAGGTACTGCAGCTCAATTGCAGTCCATTTAACCAGCCCCCCTTGCAGAGTAGAAACAGCAAGGAATGGGGGGGAAACGGGGATTTTTGTAACCCACAAAAACTACAGAAAGAGACTTGCTCAGGGCACTGAAGAGAAATGACTTAGCTATTACTGCCCTGTGAAAGTGTCATAACAATGACCTAATTGTAAAAGTCCCCAAATCCCTTTATAAAGAGTGGTATTGAGTCAACCTTGTCTTTATTGTGATTTCCTTTGTTTTCACTGGTTAAATCAGTCATACCAGAAAAAAAAAAAACAGCATTCACTGCTGTGGTTAAGAATGCATATGTAATTTCTTTGAAGGATCCTTGTTTATAGAACATTTACATTCACAAATATTAGTATTCCTACCACTGATTAAAAAAAAGGTTTTCAAGAGTAATTTAAAAAGCTTTAAGATAGCAGTTGGGAGCAGTTTAGTGCATTTAGGAGCACCAATAACAGAAGTTAATAGAGCACAACTAAAGTGGGTTTTTACTTGCACAGTTCACCAATCAACTTCTTATGACATTGTTAAGGAAAAATGCAGGCATTAAGTTATTTATTCCCTCAAAGTAGAGTCTCTCTTCATTTCCCCCCCCCCCAAGCAGAACCTGAAGGGGGGAAAAACAGCTATGCCCAATTAAGTTCCTGTACCACCTAATCTCTAAAATATATCAGTTACACAAATTACACATGTGCAGGTTGTGCTGGGAGTACTGAGCACTAGGGGAAGGTGTTAACTTTAAAAATAGCATTTTCCTACCTGGGTCTTTTGAATGCCCAATAGAAATTCCATATCAAATCCAAATACCCTTTATTTTCTAGTCTAAAATCCTGTCTTCAGAGGAAGTGCAGGACTCATGCAGTAAGCAGGTCATTATGTAAAGGCCACAAGAGCCAACAGTTTGACTGTTTTAAACTCTGAAAGGAACTTTCTTTGATATCTTTAAAAGCAGTCATTAATTACAATTCAGGATACACATTTATAGTGAATTAGTTTTAATTTTGTCTAGAAGTAACTATTTATTATCCCAGCCATAAGAAAAACTTAGGTTTTCCATAATACTTGTGAAAGCTATGACAATAAACCATGAAGATGAGCAAACCGTGATACTAAAAGAAAATTGTATTTTACCAGTCTGTAAAGTGTTGTGGCCTCTTTGGATGCAAGGCTATCATATAAACACAAGCTGGTTTATTTTTTTACCTTTTAAATGCTTCAGCAGGGTTCCTCTCACATTCCCCAGGCTGCAAGAGACTTTGAATTGCAGGATCTCTTAGTTTGTCCTCATATCCCTGAATGAGTCCACTCCGGCAGATCTGTTTAACTAAGCCTCTAATAAACCCACCAACACACAATGTGTCAGAGTCTTGGGCCCTGCAGAAGTGGAAGGCTAGAGCCTGGCGATGTAAGCCTCTCTGTAAGCTTGCAGGTGAGCTTGGCCACAATAACTCAGTGCAGAGGGCTGTCTTTCCACTACCAGGCCCTCCTACCAACAGCACACCCCAGGCAACTCCTTTCCCAGAGCCAACGCCAACATTATTCCCAGAATTTGCCACAAGAGATAGTTTGTTGGCAGCACTGTTGCTGCAGTTAGCTTTCTCCTGGAGGCAGTGCTGAAGCTTGTGGAAAACCCACTCCCTACAGTAAAACTGCTTTCCCTGCAGCAAACTGGTTTGAGCCATTTTCTAGACAGTCTTCCTGGTACCCGTCAAAAACAGCAATACACCTTCAGCATCTTCGGTGACAGATGTAACGATTCATCTTATATACATCTGTTGTGTGGAACTGGTCATAGATCAAGATGTTCAGCTAACCTTTCTTGCAGGTTAGCTTCTATGCAGAGTGATGGGTGTCATTCCATGCAAATGAATGTTTGTGATGACCATGCAACATATGACAGTTCAACTGGTTGTATTGTGAAACAATGCCTGGTACCCAGGCTCCGTAACACTTCTCATATAACTCAAAAGGTTATACAACTCCACGATTACATCTGCAGTTTACATAGTTGTGTGTGTTCCCGGTATACAGAGGAGACAATACATCTGGGAAAACTGAGAGAAAGCCAATTTTTCTGTGTACACTAAGTGTCTCTCAAATCCAGGCATTAATCTTTCTGGATTTACATCCAAAGCTGTCCACAGGAAAACTGTACCTTCTGGGAATTCGGTACAGAAGCATTCTTCTTCCGAGTCTCCAATTTACGTTGCAAACATGTGGCTCTGTTTCCCTTGCTGAGAAACGGTTCAGTTTCAACGGTAAGCCTTGCAGCCTTCATACATCTGGGCAACTGCCAACGAAGTGCTTTACATGACGATTTCTTAGGCAGAGGAGACACTGGGAAAACATTAACACTTTCTCCTTGCAAGACACCCGTCCAGCGCTTCCTTCAGGATCCTGGAGTCTGACAGAACCGGCTCCCAGGCATCTCGATCAGGAGCTGTCAAGCAGCTGACAACCTCTTCCCCTACAGCTCCGAATAAAGAAAAAAAGAGGGGTAATGACTTAAACCCCATGCACCAGATGTTTGCATTTCACAAAGGCAGCACTTGTGAATAAAATGCCCAGACAGCAAAGAGAAAAAAAAAAAAGAGAGAGAGAAAGAGAATCAAGAGGAGCGCTACAGATCTGTGCACGTATAAATGTAGAAACACGCCTATATACACATGCATGTACCTCTGCAAACACGTGGACATGTATACACACACGTGTGTGTACTTCCCATTGCTTCAGGCCAATTCTGAAAGGGTGTGTGCACATCTGTGTGTGTGTCACTGCATTTCCCCCTCCTTTGGGCCAATTGTGAAAGGGGTGTGCCTGTGCATTTCTCCCTCCTTTGGGCGGACTCTGAGCGGTTTCCAAGGCTCTCTGGGCAGCCGTGATCTCGTTGATCAGACCAACTCAATAGTTGGAAAAAATGTTCTCTGCAAGCTTTCTGGCACACGCACCCTTTCTCCAGGCATAGGCAGACTCTGGCTACACCGCTACAACCAATGTCCCGAAAGGTTTCTTTCCAAATCCTCCCAAATTGCGGGCCCCGGGCTGGAGCCAGCCTTCGCCCCGTCCCCCCGCCACAGCCTTTCCAGTCAGCGAGTCCCCACATCCGAACCACCTCCGCCCCAGGGGAGGGGCCGGGCCCGGGGAGGACACCAGGCTGCGGCCCCGCGCCCTACCTGCGGGCCAGCTGGCACGGCCGGGCACGCTTCTTTGTTCCCGGGACACGCGGCAGGCCCGGGACTTCCCCCGCGCCCCCCCCCCCCCGGACAGTGCTGCCGTGCGGCAGTGTTTGCCGCCTCCCCCGGTCGGGCTTTTCTGCCCCCGCGTCCCGCCGCGGACACCCCGCCGG